TCCTATAATTTTTTGTTTATAGCATAGTTTATACAGATTATTCCCAAAAAATTATACGTGTTTTGGAAATGTTGAGTGGAATTAGTCTACAATCGGTTAATTTTATAGAAGAAAACCTTTCAAACAGCCTTGGTCCGTAAAGTTCACACCTTTCGGGCTGCGATTGGCTCATGTATTTAATCATTCCTACAACGTAAAATTCGATTAGCGTGGAACGTATCTAAGCGTTATAGGGGGGTCTAATGTACAAGTATCCCTCATACAACAGTTTTAGAAATTTTCCATACAAAACTTCACAATTTTTAAATATATACTTTATTTGGTAAAATTTTTTTTATTCAAGTAAGCACATGTGTTGTTACAAATTTGCCCATGGATTTTAGAATATTGAAATTTTCAAATTATTTTGTGCTTTTCATCATGTTTACTTCAATGAAAACTGATAGTGCAATTTTTTTCTTCCTTGTCCTAACTTTTCTATCAACCAGATGCTGTCATTGCTTTCAGACTTTAGTCCTTAAGATTCACTGCTTTTTCTTTTTATAAATCCATCTTCATATTTAGTAAAGTTTATTTAAACATTTTTAGATAAGTGCTATTGAATTTTATTTTAACTGTAGATAAGCAATCATTCATAAAATGATGAAAAAAATACAGTGGTATCTCAGTATTTGAACACAAATTTTGAAGAAAAGTTGCTTGGTACTTGACTGAACACATGCAATCTGCTAGAACAAATTTTTGATTAATAACATATTTTTATTTTGTCATCCATAAAAAATTTTTTCTGATAAAAATAAAAAATATGAAAATGTTTCTGATTCTTCTGATCAAGATCAACAAAAAAGCTGAGATGATGTTGATACTTAATAAAAAAGAAAACACCTTCATATAACTAAAATTAATATTAATGCGTCATACAGTACTTTTAACTGTGATTGTTAGTTAATTATTGGTTGGAAATAAATTATCAGTTGCTTTAGTAAACATATTTCTCTTAGTAATGAAAAATAGTGTACTTTTGCTAAATTCTGGAACATAACCATATGTTTTGCATTAGTCCTTTGTTTCATGTAGCATGGACTCACATAGCACAGCACTTTTTCATAACATAACTATTGTGTTATATGAGGGAAACTTTCAAGTACACTTTGCTTTATTAGTTTGCTTTTATAACTATCAGTATATTAAGCCTATTAATACAGTTATTAAAATTTTTATTGTTTATCATGTAATGTGAGAATTTTTAATACAGCATCAATTGTTTCTGTTGCAAACATCAAGAAAATTAACTTTTTTATGTAAAATAAACTGCTTGAAAAGCTGCATTTAACAAGTTTAATTAATACACCTTTAACAGTGGTGAAATTATTTAAGTAACACAAATATTTTTCGTCCAATAACAGACTATCCTCAGCTTTGGAGGATGATCCTTCAGTTGAAGATGGAATGCCTTTAAACCTTCAACTGTCCATATATGAGGATGGCTCATTAAATGAGCCAAAAACATTTGCATTATTCAAATTTTGCCACTGTTAAACATGCATTAATTAAGCTGAGTAATTACAGTGGCTAAATCGCTATTATGCATGTAAGAAGATATATTATTCACGTTTTCTTCCGGAAATTGAAGTAATTGGTAGAAGGCGCTAGTGTACTGTAGTGTCTGCCATTAAATGTTGGTTGTGCATAGTTTATTGCTGTGAGTAAGATTTTTAATTATTTTCATTCAAGGATGGAAAGTAATATTTTGGAATTAGGTAGGTATATTTCTACTGTTTCTTTATTCTACTGTTGAAATGATTAATGATAAACTGCTATTATTGAGATTCCAAATTTATGTTTTAAATGCTGCAGACAGTTGTTCGTATCCATATCTAAATGAACTGTGAAGAAACATTTGGAAAGATGACGTAAAAGAATGGCCAAATATTAAAGAAATCATGTCTTATATTATTTGGTTTACTCAAAAGCCTGTGACCTATGAGAAACGTAATCCTACAAAGGATTTGAATCATACAATTATTTTCAAAGTGGTTTTGTAGGGCAAACATTGTCTTATTGTGTGAACAAATATCTCATGTATTTGAAAGCTGGAGTAAATTTATAACCTGTGGGCATGTGTTCGAAACTCAGGAGAAATAGAAAGTTTGGGTTGCACTTTTATGGCTGGCAAAGGAAAGTTATGCAGCCATTCTGTGGAAAGTAGTAGTAGCAGTACAACAGGGTTATACTGGAGGTGCATGTATCGATGTTCCACAGAAATGGAATATGGGTACAAAAAGAAACATTGAACCTAAACGACTGGATAATATCTTATTTAAAAACCTAAAAGAGGACAAGATATTGAACTTTCACCAATGAAAAATACCACCATTTTTGTTAAAAAAATATACTTCTGAGGAAATAATTAAAGGTATACAAGAAAGTGGACTAGGTCCTTTACCGTTACTTGATGTACCTGGCACTCTGGTACATGATACAATGTGCAAGCTGGATAATGTTGAAGACTTGATGGATAAACCAGGAAATGTGCAGATTTTCCATGGAGCACATTCATCACTGAATCTTGAGTGCAATAGTTGTGGGAAATTTTTCAAAGATTGGAAAATGTAGCTCAGGATATGGATATATGGTTGACTAGCAGGAAAATTAGGATAACTGCTTCCACTGCTTATTCTGTTCCAAAAAGACAGGCAACAGATTCTAAAAAATTCCTTCATAACCATGTTTTTGGTAAGTTTAGTGGTAACATTTATACTAACTATGGGAAAGAGATGGAAGTAAATGCAATAAAGTTTTTTGAAACAATGCATAATAAATCAATAACAGAATCTGGAATTCATGTTTGTAAAAAGGACAAGTGGCTTTCAGCAAGTCCAGATGGTATTTTGGGTTCAGATGGCATTTTAGAAGTAAAATGTCCTTTTATTGGGTTGTTCAGAAAGTAATGTGTGTTTTTTTTCGTGGAAAAAAAACACAATATTTTTATAATAAATTAATATTTTATTCAATTATATATCGACCATTTGGTCAAATATCTGTCGTCATCATTTCTGGTAGTAGCATGATTCCACGTTAATAAACGTTTTGATCTCTGCTTACAAAAAACTGATTCAAGTGATTTTTGACATTGTCATTTCAAGTAAATGTCTTAGTTTAAAAAATTTTGTATACACCAGAACAAGTAATAATCTGAGTGTGCCTGATCTGGCGAATATGGTTGGTGTGATAGCACGTCCCATCTAAGCTGTAACAGTTTCTGACGAGTTACCAAACTTGTGTGAAATTTGGCATTATTGTAGTAAAACACTACATCTTTTTTGTTGATCAATTCTGGCCTTTTCTGTTTGATGATATTACTCAATTTGTTTAATAGCAGCACACTTTCAAATCAATTGTTAAATTGTTTGATAAAAACTCAAAAAAAAATTTCCTTAAAATCCCACCAAAGAGAATAACTCTCTTTAAGAACATGTGGAACCCATATATCGAGCTTTAAAACGAAACCAGTTTGTTTCAAGTAATCATAAACGGTTCACTTCGACAAATTTAATCTCTTAGTGATTTTACATGTTGTTATTTGGCAGTTTGTTTCAATCAGTACCTTTATTTTGTTTTCATTGGCTTCAACTGGCCGTCCAGAACATGGTGCATCTTTGATATTGAAATTGCCAGAACGAAATTTTGTAAACCAGTTTTGGCACTGTTGTTCTGTGAATACATCTTCTCCGTACATGTCACACAATTTTTTTCTCGCTTGTGCAGCATTCTTACCTTTTCGATAATAAAAGGGCAAAATATGCTGAAAATGCTGCTTTCGATCTTCCATACTTGATGGAACACAAAAAATAAACAATTGCACAAAATCAAACAATTTTTTACAAATAAGCCTTAAAATGTCGGCTATATAATGTCAGTATATAATGAAAATTTGGTGTAAGATGAAATTGGTTGGTAAAAATACATCTAATTCTTCTAGTAATAAAAAAAAAAAAAATGAAATTACTTTTCGAGCAACCCAATAAAAGAAACATTGATTTTCTGAAATGCAGGCAAACTCTTTCTTTCCACTTTTTTAACTTTTGATATGAGTTATTACAGTCAAATAAGGAACAATATCTTCCTCCCATAATTTTGTAATACTATTCACTGTTACTAATATAAGATTTTTAATATGGTACAAAAACTATATGTTATATCCTGTACAAAAAACTACTAATAAATTAATAGTTATTGTTAATAGCAGTTACCGATATTACTATATTCTAGTAATTGTGCGATATCCAATGTTTAATTACAGCATAGGAAGTAACAGGAAGTAACTTCACAATGCTATCTATCGATAGTTTTCTCTGTGCAAAGGTGGATAGTCAAAAATAAACTAAACTTTTAATACAACTTTTATTACATATACTTTTATTAGTTTATTTATTTTACAAAGTATATCTTGTCTGCTTATTTGAATCTGTGATCCATTAGGAACAAACTTGTAGTGAGTTTGGTTTTTTATACCAAAAAGTGCTCAGGTTATATTCAAGAAAGTAATTCAAAATGGACTGCATGACTATTTTAATAAGTGGTACAAATGTTGGCAGAAGTGTGTAATTGCAAAAGGTGCTAATTTTATAGGTAGTTTTTTTTTTTTTTAAATATTTCTTTTAATACTAATGACAGTTTATAGTAAAAGTTTGGTTTATTTTTTACTCTAGTGTATATATTTAATACATTTTATGCCTATTTGCAAATTTCAAATATTACTCTGCAGCTAATAAAAATATATTATAGAATTACTATATAATTTTATAATACAGTTTAGTTGATGTATAATAATACAAATATTAAATAGAATTTGAAGTTTTAAATTTAAACATTCTAATTTTGTAAAATAGAGAGAAAACATAGAAACTATGCCAGGATATTTATCATTGCATCAAACACCAGAAGGTTTAATAATTAAGTGGACTCCAAATCAATTAATGAATGGCTGTTATACAACTAATGAAGATGAAGCAACTCAGGATAAAAGGTAAAAATAATATGAATTAGTTTTATAGTAATTTTAATACAGAAATAATTTGTTTCGATATTAAGTAAATCAATAATATTTTATACTAGTTATAAAATTAATTTGCTGAAATAAAGATATAAATATACAATATAAAAGCTGATTTACAGAAATGAGGCTTAAGCCACAACCTTGATTTTTAAACCCTGGATTTCTTAAAGTTCTATTTCAAAAATAAGTTTTTGACTAAAGATGATCTAACCCATGGATTGTAACCTGTGGTAAAAGCCATAGATTAGACCAGTGTTTTTCAACCTGTGGGTCGCGACCCCCTGGGGGTCACGAAGCCTTACACGGGGGGTCACGGGTACAAGAAAAAGACAAGTGTTTGTAGGTCCTACACTACATTAAAAAAACTACTATTTCAGCGAGAATTATGGCTCATCTCAGAAAATGATAGCGGAAAAAGTGTTGAGCTGATTTCCAAAAGGAAATTTGGAAATCAGCTCTAAAACAGCTGATTTCCAAACACAGCTGATTTCCAAAACAGGCTATCTTTGCTCTAAAACAGCTGGTGGAAAGGCACAGGGAAATGCAGGAATATTTACACATGGTGTTCATAGATCTAGAAAAGGTGTATGATAGGGTACCAAGGCAAGAGATATGGAGATGTTTGAGGGAAAAGAATGTTCCAGAAAAATATGTTATGCTTGTTAAGGAAATGTACGAGGGAGCAGAGACCCAAGTTGATGTGGGCACTACAGATAAGTTCTTCATTAATGTTGGTTTGCATCAGGGATTGATCCTTTATTTGTTTGACATGATAATGGATGTGTTGGTGTGATGTATGACATGAAGGGTGAGGGTCCATGAAGTATGCTGTTTGTGGATGATATTGTGCTGTGTGAACTTTCCCAAACCAAGACTGAGAAGAAACTGGAAGATTGGAGGATAGTTTTGGAAGAAAGGGGCATGAAGATTAGCAGAACTAAAACAGCTTATATGACTCTGAATGGTAGAGATAAGTGTAATATTAAAATCCAAAATGTGCCGCTCCCTTTTGTTCTGAGTTTTAAATATTGTGGGACATTGTTGAGATAGGAGGAGGATTGAACTCGGAGATGCAGCATAGAATTCAATGTGGATGGATGAACTAAAAAAAGCTGAGCAGTGTGTTATGCGACAAGAAAGTTAGCTGCAATCTGAAAGGAAAATTGTATAAGTTAGACCTGCAGTGTTATATGAAGCAGAGACATGGGCAATAATGAGCCCAAGAAAGAAAGATGAAGGTGGCGGAGATGAGAATGTTGAGATGGATGTTGGAATGTCAAGAAAGGATAGAATAATGAATGATTTTATTAGATAGGCCCTTTGAGCAAAAAGATGCAAGAATGTAAGTTGAAGTGGTTTGACCACATAGAGTGAAGAAGTGACAATTATGTTGGAAATAAGAGTGGAAAACTGGTAGTAAGAGGAAAAGAAGAAGACCAAAGATGTGTTGGAAAGATAAGGTGAAAGAAGACTTGAACCAGAGGGGACTTAAGAGAGAAGAAGCCCTTGATAGGGAGAAATGGAAAAAATGTATTAGAGAAGGAAATGCCATCCCCATATAAACATGGGAAAAGGCAAAGATAAAGATGATTCCTTTCTTTTTCAATATCAAACTTTATATTTTTTCTGTTATGTTTGCTTGTAAAATTAATTTTTCATTTGTTTTTCTACTATCAAATATAATGATACAATCATCTACATACCTATTGTAAAATTCAAATCTTTCTATATTTCTAATTTTTCATCTATATGTATCATGAATATTTATGCTAGTCTTGGACCAATACATGTTCCCATTAGTACAGTAGAACCTCGAAAACTCGGCTCTCGATAACCCGGCACTCCGGATAACTCGGCCACACCCTGGCAGGGCAAAAAATCCTTAGTTAATTAATTTTCATTATAGACAGCTTTATAAAAGTGTAAAAGCTCTCATAAACTATTTTTCTGAGGTCTGCCTTATCAGGTAAATTACTTACAGAGTGTATTCATTAATTTTCATTTTCATGTAGTAAAGGCTCTATGCCTTCATAAAGTACGTACTTTTCCTTTGTTTAAGGGTATTTGGCAGTTTATTCTCTGTTGTATTCTCCAGCAAACAATACATACAAGTACAGTACACCATTTTCTGAGGAAACACGCATACTTATCCTTTTTTAACCCCATTCTCGATAACCCGGCATTTTCACAAACTCGGCCACCCTTCGGTCCACATTAGGCCGAGTTTTCGAGGTTCTACTGTATTNCATCTATCGGGCTGCGATTGGCTCATGTATTTAATCATTCCTACAACGTAAAATTCGATTAGCGTGGAACGTATCTAAGCGTTATAGGGGGGTCTAATGTACAAGTATCCCTCATACAACAGTTTTAGAAATTTTCCATACAAAACTTCACAATTTTTAAATATATACTTTATTTGGTAAAATTTTTTTTATTCAAGTAAGCACATGTGTTGTTACAAATTTGCCCATGGATTTTAGAATATTGAAATTTTCAAATTATTTTGTGCTTTTCATCATGTTTACTTCAATGAAAACTGATAGTGCAATTTTTTTCTTCCTTGTCCTAACTTTTCTATCAACCAGATGCTGTCATTGCTTTCAGACTTTAGTCCTTAAGATTCACTGCTTTTTCTTTTTATAAATCCATCTTCATATTTAGTAAAGTTTATTTAAACATTTTTAGATAAGTGCTATTGAATTTTATTTTAACTGTAGATAAGCAATCATTCATAAAATGATGAAAAAAATACAGTGGTATCTCAGTATTTGAACACAAATTTTGAAGAAAAGTTGCTTGGTACTTGACTGAACACATGCAATCTGCTAGAACAAATTTTTGATTAATAACATATTTTTATTTTGTCATCCATAAAAAATTTTTTCTGATAAAAATAAAAAATATGAAAATGTTTCTGATTCTTCTGATCAAGATCAACAAAAAAGCTGAGATGATGTTGATACTTAATAAAAAAGAAAACACCTTCATATAACTAAAATTAATATTAATGCGTCATACAGTACTTTTAACTGTGATTGTTAGTTAATTATTGGTTGGAAATAAATTATCAGTTGCTTTAGTAAACATATTTCTCTTAGTAATGAAAAATAGTGTACTTTTGCTAAATTCTGGAACATAACCATATGTTTTGCATTAGTCCTTTGTTTCATGTAGCATGGACTCACATAGCACAGCACTTTTTCATAACATAACTATTGTGTTATATGAGGGAAACTTTCAAGTACACTTTGCTTTATTAGTTTGCTTTTATAACTATCAGTATATTAAGCCTATTAATACAGTTATTAAAATTTTTATTGTTTATCATGTAATGTGAGAATTTTTAATACAGCATCAATTGTTTCTGTTGCAAACATCAAGAAAATTAACTTTTTTATGTAAAATAAACTGCTTGAAAAGCTGCATTTAACAAGTTTAATTAATACACCTTTAACAGTGGTGAAATTATTTAAGTAACACAAATATTTTTCGTCCAATAACAGACTATCCTCAGCTTTGGAGGATGATCCTTCAGTTGAAGATGGAATGCCTTTAAACCTTCAACTGTCCATATATGAGGATGGCTCATTAAATGAGCCAAAAACATTTGCATTATTCAAATTTTGCCACTGTTAAACATGCATTAATTAAGCTGAGTAATTACAGTGGCTAAATCGCTATTATGCATGTAAGAAGATATATTATTCACGTTTTCTTCCGGAAATTGAAGTAATTGGTAGAAGGCGCTAGTGTACTGTAGTGTCTGCCATTAAATGTTGGTTGTGCATAGTTTATTGCTGTGAGTAAGATTTTTAATTATTTTCATTCAAGGATGGAAAGTAATATTTTGGAATTAGGTAGGTATATTTCTACTGTTTCTTTATTCTACTGTTGAAATGATTAATGATAAACTGCTATTATTGAGATTCCAAATTTATGTTTTAAATGCTGCAGACAGTTGTTCGTATCCATATCTAAATGAACTGTGAAGAAACATTTGGAAAGATGACGTAAAAGAATGGCCAAATATTAAAGAAATCATGTCTTATATTATTTGGTTTACTCAAAAGCCTGTGACCTATGAGAAACGTAATCCTACAAAGGATTTGAATCATACAATTATTTTCAAAGTGGTTTTGTAGGGCAAACATTGTCTTATTGTGTGAACAAATATCTCATGTATTTGAAAGCTGGAGTAAATTTATAACCTGTGGGCATGTGTTCGAAACTCAGGAGAAATAGAAAGTTTGGGTTGCACTTTTATGGCTGGCAAAGGAAAGTTATGCAGCCATTCTGTGGAAAGTAGTAGTAGCAGTACAACAGGGTTATACTGGAGGTGCATGTATCGATGTTCCACAGAAATGGAATATGGGTACAAAAAGAAACATTGAACCTAAACGACTGGATAATATCTTATTTAAAAACCTAAAAGAGGACAAGATATTGAACTTTCACCAATGAAAAATACCACCATTTTTGTTAAAAAAATATACTTCTGAGGAAATAATTAAAGGTATACAAGAAAGTGGACTAGGTCCTTTACCGTTACTTGATGTACCTGGCACTCTGGTACATGATACAATGTGCAAGCTGGATAATGTTGAAGACTTGATGGATAAACCAGGAAATGTGCAGATTTTCCATGGAGCACATTCATCACTGAATCTTGAGTGCAATAGTTGTGGGAAATTTTTCAAAGATTGGAAAATGTAGCTCAGGATATGGATATATGGTTGACTAGCAGGAAAATTAGGATAACTGCTTCCACTGCTTATTCTGTTCCAAAAAGACAGGCAACAGATTCTAAAAAATTCCTTCATAACCATGTTTTTGGTAAGTTTAGTGGTAACATTTATACTAACTATGGGAAAGAGATGGAAGTAAATGCAATAAAGTTTTTTGAAACAATGCATAATAAATCAATAACAGAATCTGGAATTCATGTTTGTAAAAAGGACAAGTGGCTT